AGGGGGATTTTTTTGATTAAAACACCTTCCCAAGTGACTAGTATTTTTGTGTAGTCATTTACTTGAATCATTTAATTTTTTTAAAAATTTCAAAATTTATTTAAACAGCTGCAAAACCTTTTATTTTATTTATTTTTTAGTTTGTTTTAAGGTTTGTACTCTCCTCCCAATATTAATATTTTTTTTCTTAATTTTTTTTCCAACACCAATCATCATACATAATATTATGCCCCCTTTTAAAATTGGAAAAATTTAGAAGAAAAAAATTTTTGAGAAAAATCCAGTTCTCTAAAAAAATTTTTATTTTTTTATTTTATGTTTGCCATTTTTCATTATTCTTCCTTTAATTTTTCTTTAATTTTTTTAAATTTATGTATTTGCAACCTATTTATTTTTTAATTTAGCAAAAATTGTTGGGAGGGTGAAGGTTTAATGCCTGATTTTTTTCAAATAATTTTTTTAAAAATTCCTAAAAAATTTTTTTGAAAGATTGCTTTCCCTTCAGTATCCCTATTTCCGATATTTCGAAAGATTTTTCTATTTTGGGCTTTTTGAAAGATTTTGGATTATTGGGAGTTTTTATTTATTTTAGAGCATTGGGGTCTATTAAAAAATTTCTGATGGGTATTTTAAAATATTTTTGAGAGGTTTATACATTTTGAAATATTTTTGTCTTTTAGATATTTTGAAAAAAAAATTTTTTAATTTTTTTTTAAATTTTTCTTGTTGGGGAAATTAACGGGTGGGAGGAAATTAAAGGGAATTAGGGTGTATTAATAATTAAAAAAAATTTTTTTTAAAAATGTTCTACTTAAAAATCACTCTTTTTACTGTTCTTTAGACTTGTAAAAATACAACAAATAAATAAATAAAATTTTTTTGGCGCAAAAATTTATTTAAAAAATTTATTTTTTTGTTGGTTCGTGCCAGTCTCTACCGGGCCAGTTTTTCACCTTTTTTTTAAATTTTTTTTCTCTCTTAATTTTCTTCTTTCCTCTTTTCTGTGACGCGACGACCTTCGCAATATTATATAAAATATATTTAGTTGTGTAGCCCTGCGAGAGCAACAAACACAATTTTTTAACAACTACCTTTAAAATATGCCTAGTCCAAAAGATCACCACTACGGTACACTTTATTTTAGTGGTGATCTTTTGGGTGGGGGCGTCTTTTGGCTGTTTTAGGGGTAATTTGTGTACATTTTAAAGGGGAAATTTTATAAAATTGGGAAAGGTTAAAAAGGCCTTTTAAAAAACTGGTTTTTTCAAAAAATAATTTTAGAGAAAATGTTAGAGTATTTTTGTTCTGTTCAAAAGGAGTGTTGCAGCAGCGGTAAAGTAACTCTCCCTTTGGGGGAGTTAATGGAACAAACAAAGAGGGAAAAAAAGTTTTTAAGGGAAGAAACAGGTTCTGAACTTGTAAGAGAATTCAAAAAATGAAAAAAGAAAAAAAATTTTTTTAATCAGGCTGATAATTTTTGTGTTTATTTGGGTGTGATTTTTAGGTGCTCATTTGGCTGATTAATTAAGGGAAATTAAATTAATTTAAGGGGAGATTTGAAAAAAATTTTTTTAAGAGAAGGGAAAATGGAGTTGCGATATTCTAATTGTTTATTATCAAAAATCAGAATTTTTGATTCCTGGATAAAAAAAGGAAAGGGTTGGAAAGAGGGAAGGAAAAAGATAAGGGAAATGAGGAGGTTGTTCTGATATTAAAAATCAGAATTTTAAAGTCAGAATTTTAAAAATCAGAATTTCGAAGTCAGAACAAAAATCAGAATAATATGATCAGAACTCAAGCCTATCATGAAATCAGAATACCAGAACAAAAATCAGAATTCTGAAAGATTGATGGCGTTTGTGACCAAATGGGTAATTTTCCTCTTGTGGGCATTTTGTCGTTTCCAGTTGATTTTTTTGTCTGTGATCTTTTGGGGGTAGTGATCTTTTACGGATTATCTCTTATTTAAGATACACGCAAGATAGGATTTTTAAAACCTAAGGATATAAGTTTGTAAAACTGTGTCGTTTTTTATAATTAAATGAGAATTAATGAAATTTAAAAAAAAAGTGAAGAGAAATTAAAAATATTTTCAATCTCGACCAGTTTTTTCAAAAAAAAAATTTTCACCTTTATTTAAAAAATAAATTTATCTCTCTAATTTCCTCATTTTACAAAATTTCCAGTTTTAAAAAAGAGAGGTGTTCGTTAAATAAAATTTAAAATAATTTAATTTTCTGTTTGTTGGGGGCGTTGGGGAAGGAGAGAGAGACAACATTAGATCCCAACCTTATAAAATGGTCAAATTTAAACTTAGAAAGGTGAAATTTTGTAGGGATGTTTTTAAGAGTGTTAGTTACCGTGTCTAAAAATTTGAGAATTTTTGGTTTTGTATTTTCAAAGTTATGGGTGAAAAACTACCGAAAGGTCGAGAAAACTATCGTTTTCTGACCTTCCAACACTTTTTCGCCCACAACTTCTGAAATAATAAATCAAAAATTCTGAAATTTTTAGACAAGGTAAATAACACATTTGGGTATATCCATGCAAAATTTCAGGACTCCAAGTGCTCTTTTAGCTATTTTATGAACCCGCGCCGAAACGGCCGCACCTCTTAAATTTTTCTGACCTTCCAACACTTTTTCGCCCACAACTTCTGAAATAATAAACCAGAAATTCTGAAATTTTTAGACAAGGTAAATAACACTTTTGAGTATATCCTTGCAAAATTTCAAGACTCTAAGTGCTCTTTTTGCTATTTTATAAACACGCGCCGAAACGGCTGCGCCCTTAAATTTCCCTCTATAAATCCCTCAAAATTGCTTTTTTCTAAACAAAAATTTTTTTCCTTAATTTATTCAAAATTTATACTATTTTGCATTTTAATGCCTTAATATTAGTGAGGGCCAAAATTATTTTTTAAAAATATATTTTTATATTTGCAAAATGATTTGCCGGACAGAAGCACGAAAAATGCAAATTCAGTGAGAATACATTTTTATGTAAATAGGTTACTGTAAAAGGACCCAGAAGATCACTAGAGAAAGGAGCAAGGAAGGATTATTCTGATTTGTTCTGATATTGAAAATCAGAATTTAAAAATCAGAACAATCAGAATTTTTAAGTCAGAATTCAAAATCAGAATTTTAAAAAAATCAGAATAAAAATCAGAAGTAAAAATCAGAATTAAAAATCGGAATTTTAAAGTCAGAATTTAAAATTAGAATTTAAAAAAATCAGAATAAAAATCAGAATATTCTGATATGACCAGAACATAGGACTAACATAAAACTAAAACACCAGAACGAAAATCAGAATCTCAGAATTAAAATCAGAATGTAGATAGAGTCTGGGCCATCTGCGACCAAATGAGTGTTTTTACCCTTGTGGGCATTTTGTCATTTCCAGTTGATTTCTTTTTTAGTTGATCTTTTGGGTTATTTAAAAACAATAGGTGACCTTTCCTTATTTGATATTTAGGGTTCTTAAATACTTAAACTACTTTGGGTGTTTGGGGGAGAGAGGCAAGTTGTTTTAGTATTGTTAAAAAAGGTAGAGGGGGGCCTTATGAATTATTCATGAGGTGACGGCGTTTTTCTTTTTTTCCTCTAAATTGCATATATTTTTAATATTCTCTCCCTTATATTCTCTCTCATTTTTTTTTATTTTTTAAAAATTCCCGTCCAAAAAAAAATATTAATTATTCATTGGGCCTAGTGTTTGTATTTGTTGTTTTGTTGAGAGTAGTGTTGACTGACCGGGTGAATATTTAAAATGTGAGTGAATAAATAATGAGTGAATGACTGAGAGAGGCAAAAATTGTAGATATTATTGAATGCATTGTTGTGTTAGCCTGCTTTTTATAGTATTTTTTGTTTTTAAAGGCGCTTTAAGCTACGAACATGTTTTTATGAAAAAATAAACTTGGAATTGCGAAATTGTAAAACAAAGTTTAATTTTGTGAAAATAAACTTTAGATAAACTTGAATTTGAAAAATAAACTTTAAATTCAAGTTCAATTGTAAAATAAACTTGAATTGTAGTAACAAACAAGTTTATTTAATAATTAAGCCTTGTTTTACAATTAATGTTTAATTCTAAAAATAAACTTGAATTTAATTGTAAAAACAAACTTTGATTGTAAAAATAAATTTTCAATAAACTTGAATTGTAAAACATGTTTATTTTTTAATTAAACTTTGTTTTACAATCAAAGTTGTAACTAATTGTAAAATAAACCTGAATTGTAAAAACATTATTTTTACCCTTATGTATAATTCCAACTTGTTTTACAACAACTAAACTTAATTGTAATTTAATTAATATTATTTCCAACAAACTTTCTAATTACAAAAATAAACCTTTTATTTGTAAAAACAACTTTAAATAAACTTTAATTTGTAAAATAAACTTGAATTGCAAAATATAAGTTGTAATCAAAAACTACGTGATAATAAATAATTATTTTCCTTTTTTTATTATTTATTTCATTTAAACTTTCCAATCTTTTTCTCTCCAAATTGGAATTAATGAGAAAAAAACCCGTTCGCGCTCTCACTTGATTTTTCTCCTCGTCCCTTTCCGGCGTCCTTTACACATAGCTAGTTGAAGATCTTGATGCTTTTGCAATGATGACCTTGGTGCTTGTCTGCAGCTGGCTCCAACCCAGCATTTGAAAGAGTGACTGTGAGAAGTTCCACGCACTCTTTTGCACATTTTTTTACCCCATCCAAATGCCGCGCATCTTTTTTTATTTTATGCACCAGGCCGGGCCGTTGAGATTCCTTTATTTTCCTATGTTTGAATTATTTTTCTGTATTCCAAGTTTATTTTTGCATTCCAAGTTTAATTTATTATTTTAAGTTTATTTTCGTATTTTCCAAGTTTATTTTGATATCCCAAGTTTAATTTATTTTTCACGTTTATTTTTTATACCCCAAGTTTATTTTTATATTCAAGTTTATTTTTAAGTTTATTTTTATTTTCCAAGTTTAATTTTCTTTATTCCAAGTTTATTTTTATATTTCAAGTTTAATTTTCTATATTTCTAAGTTTATTTTCTATATTCCAAGTTTATTTTTGTATTTTGATCTCTGGCGTTTCTATTGCCACGAAACTTTTTTGGCGCACACTCTCTCCAATATTAAATATTTCCATGTACTTTTTTCTATTTTAAAATGTCCCTCCTATTTTTCCCTCATGATTTTTTTCCTCATTTATCTTCTTGTTTATTTAAACTTTCTTTTTTAGATACTTTTATTTTCTTCAATTTAAAATTAATTAATACACCTACAAAAATAAATAAAAAATGCAGTCAATTTCTGCAAATGAACTGGCTGTTCTAAACAACTTGCAGCAAGCCGCCGCAGTTGCCGCGGCAAATGTAGTTGGAGGAGTTTCTAATTCTGTTGTGTCTTCTCTAGGGGGACCTCCTCCCGTTTCCAGTCAATCTGTTGGGGTTAATAAAAGAATCCCTGGAGGAGTTACTGGAGGGGTACCTTCATCTATCCATAACAACAACAACAACAACTTGCAGCAATTGAATGGAGGAGGGATTTCACTACCTCATCAAGCCTCTACAGGCAACATAGCATCTGCTACCAATTCTCTATTAATGCGCTTTACTAAAAGCAATTGTTTTCTCTGTGATCTGCCGAGAATGCCCTGGGCTATTGTGCATGATTATGCAGAGCCTGTATGCAGGGGATGTGTAAATTATGAAGGGGCTGAGAAGTGAGTTTGAAATGGTGCTGGGTACGGTTCCGGGAGCTAGCTCTGACTCACCTCCTCCGTCTAACATTCATTCCAATGGAACTCTTGAAGCTAGCTTCGGGGCCTCGGCCACTAGACGTGCAATACCCAGCACTGGTTGAATACAAGGGGATTCCTTTTTAATTTTTTCTATTCTCTACAGAATCGAAGCTGTTATTGAAAGCGCCCGTCGTTTGAAACAAGTACATGCAGCTCTATCTTCTGGCCTTATAAGTGGTGCCCCCTCTTCTAGCTCTACAACAGCCCCATCCCTTCCATTGGAACTCTTAAATGCAACAAATATCCACCAAAACAAAACCTCAAACCAATCCAATGGCCATAACAACACTAATACAGCTACATCAACAACAACAGCAGCAGTTTCTGCTTCAGCAGCTGCTAACGGATTAAACAATCGTTTTAGTCCTCGAAGTTTAAACGGTCCTCAACAACAACAAAACGTTCAAGTTCAGCAAAATGGAACTTCCCCGTTAAACTTGGTTGCTGCACACTTAAATGGAAACAACAACAATATACCCGCAAGTTTGTTAGAAAGCATTCAACAACAGCAGCAACAGAGAGCTTTGCTAAATGGGGGAAATGGAAGAGCTGCTTTAATGGGACCAGTGTTGGATGAGGTAGTATAGCTAGAGAAAAAATTAAACTTGAATTTAAAAAATAAACTTGGAATACTATAAAAATAAGGAAGCTATGAAAATAAACTTGAAAATATAAAAAAAAGCTTGAATACAATATAATAAACTTGGAAAAAATAAATAAACCTAGAATTGGAAAAATAAACTTGACATACAATAAAATAAACTTGACAGGGGAAAAATAAACTTAGAATATAAAATAAACTTGGAATATAAAATAAACTTGAAAATACATTAATTAAACTTGAATTTAAAAAATAAACTTGGAATACTATAAAAATAAGGAAGCTATGAAAATAAACTTGAAAATATAAAAAAAAAGCCTGAATACAATATAATAAACTTGGAAAAAATAAATAAACCTAGAATTGGAAAAATAAACTTGACATACAATAAAATAAACTTGGCAGAGAAAAAATAAACTTGGAATATAAAATAAACTTGGATTACTAAAATAAACTTGAAAATACATTAATTAAACTTGAATTAAAAAAATAAACTTGGAATATAATATAATAAACTTGGAAATACATTTTAGTTACAACTACACCAACTACGCGCAATTTACCCCTTTTTCAACGCCCATCAATTATTCCCAATGAATTCAGCAGCTGCCCTAACTGGATTAGCTGCAAGTTTATTACCTTCATCGACACAAAATGGAGTTAGTTCAATAAATGGGCGTAAAAGAGAATTAGAAAATGAGGGGGCGAAGGAGACGGTTTCAAATAAAGTCCAACGAGGGGATGCCCAAAGCAGCACTTCAATCTCTCCAACTTCAACTAACAGCCCTGAACAGACTTTACACCATCCTCCACACCAACAGAACGAGCATAACAGTAAACGCCGTTCCCTCTTCCAAGGAATAAATTCTTCAAACAATTCATTGGCTATGGCTGCAGCTCAACAAGCAGCTGCAGCTCAACTTGCCGCTGCTGCCCAACAACAGCAACAACAGACTTTGCGTTGTACAGGCTGTCAGGAACGATTGGAAGATACACACTTTGTTCAATGCCCGTCTGTTAATGGACACAAATTTTGCTTCCCTTGTTCAAGGAAAAGTATTAAAAGGCAATGGAATTCACAGGTATTTGAAGACTAGAATGCTTCTAATTTAATTTAATTAAAATATTAGGATGTTCACTGCCCGTCTGGTGAAAAATGTCCTCTAGCCAACTCCAGCCAGCCTTGGACTTTTATGTTACAGGAGATACAAACGGTGTTTATATTTGTAAAATACAATAAAAATAAACTTGGCCTATAATAAATAAACCTGAGCTATAAAAATAAACTTGGAATACAATAATTAAACTTTAATATAATAATTAAACTTGGGAATATTAAATAAACTTGGAATACTAAAAATAAACTTGAACCATAAAAAATAAACCTGAAATACAATAATTAAACTTTATATTTATATTCTCAAGTTTATTTTTGCTTTTCTAAGTTTATTTTAGTATTTCAAGTTTATTTTTTATATTCCAAGTTTATTTAATATAGGTATTCTAAGGAAATACAATAATTAAACCTGAAATACAGAAAATTAAACTTGAAATATTTAAATTAGATATTGGGAAGTGATGAATACGATGCTTTTCAACAAGATCGAGAACGAATTGGTTTATTTACTCCCAATGTCAATTCTGTGGTAAAATCATTTTTATAAATATTCATTAAATTTTAATTTTAAAGCCTGGAAGAGAAGCAAGTAATAATGGAGAAGCAAGTGGACAACAAAACTCTTCCGACATCCAAGTTGTAATAATTTAAATTTTTTGGGTGTGCGCAAATTTTTTGGCGTTTTATAAAAAAATTTTTTAAATTAAAAAAAATTTTTTGGCGTTTAAAAATAAAAATTTTTTCATTTAAAAAAATATTTTTTTAATTAAAGATGAACGGCCCAAAGTGTGCAAAAGAACGATCACCAGCTAGTGAAGCTTCGCCTGGGGATAACACAAATAATATCTGTTAGCAATGGACTATGAAAAAAATTGAAAGGGAGAGAAGAAATCAGTTAAATTTAAAAAGCAATATTTTTAAAAGAAAATATACCCAAAAATATAAAAATTAGGGGAAGTTTTCCAATTTTTGTACAAAAAAAAAATAATTAATAATGCCCCCTCCCCTCTTAAAATAATTATTGGCCCAAAGTTGGAAGGTTTTAAAGTCATATTCTCCAAAAATTAATAAAAATTTGTTGTTCATTTTTAACCCAAAATTAAAAAAATCTTTTTGTATTTTTATAAAATTCAATTTTTTAATAACCATATTGAACTTAAAAAAATTTAATTTTGTTTGTTAAATTATTTTAAAAATTATTGAAAATGTTAACATAAATATGGCCAACAGACATTTGCGAACAAAAATGAGAGTTTATTGAAATTAGAACAAAAATTGGCTGGGTCATGGTCAATGCCACTTAACTGCCCCAAAGTGATACCCCAAATAGTGGAACACTCTCTAAAATATCCCACAGATGTATCCTTACTGAAGGCAAGCTTCAGTGTTCGTTCAAAATTTTGTTCGCAAATGTCGCATAATTTTGGATTTTAAGGCAATGTTTTCCAAAAATTCGGATTTGCTTCAAGCCTTCTTTTAAAATTTGTATACCATTCAGTTACACTTTTAGCAGGAACATATTCCTCATATTGAGTAGTGTTGGGTTTGGGGAAGGAGACAGCAAATGAATGCATAAAATTGACAAAGTTGCGCAACATTTTCTCTGGGAATAGAGCTAGGGAAGATAACTAGAAAAAAATAAACTTGAATTATTTAAAAATAAACTTGAGCTATAAAAATAGAAAAAATGAACTTGGAATAAAATAAACTTGGACTATAGAATATAATAAACCTAGAAAAAATACAAAAAAAATAAACCTAGAAAAAATACAGAAAAATACAAAACTTAAACTTAGAAAAACACAAAATAAACCTGAAAATAAACTTGAATTATAAAAATACCCCAGGAATAAAATAAACTTTAAAATAAACTTGGAGAAAATACAAGAAAATACAAAAACACAAAAATTAAGCTTAAAAATACAAAATAACCCTAAAAATAAACTTGGAAAAATACAGAAAAATACAAACTTACACTTAATGTAAAATACAACTTAAATAAAAAAGAAAATACAAACTTGTTCATTAGTTGAAGTTTCTTCATTTTCATTTCTTCTTAAAATTTCAATCATTGGTTCAACTTTAACGCCTAAAAAATTTTTTAAATTTCTATTTTAAATAATTTAATAATACCTATTAATGCACTATGAACTGCTGAATTATTGAAAATATTTGTAGACATATTGGAAGCATTAAAAGAAAAATTTTGAGGATTTTGTTGTTGTGTATGTCTAGTCAGCTTAAAAAAATAAATTTGATTTTTAAATTAAAAAATTAAATTTTTGGGATTTTTGGAAGGGTGTGCTGTGAGGATTATTTTATCTAACAGGATTGATTTGGTCAGATCACTCTACAAAAAAATATAGCCAAATAAACATCGAAAATCACGATTGGCGCACTTATTCAGTCACAACTTTGAGTAAAATGGTCTGACCAAATCAGTCCTGTTTGATAAAATAATCCCCACATTTAGAGCTTTCGAATGATATTATAATTATTTAAATCGGTTAAGAAACGAAAAAGTTATGCCTAAGAATGGCCTAGAGTTTGAAACATTCCCTTACGCACATTTAACCCAATTTGATTTTTATAAAAATTTTTACAAATTTAAACCTGTCCAATTTTAAATAAAGCGCTAGGTTTCTCATTGCTAATAAATCCAAGATAATTCCATTGCCTTTCCCCTCCGTCAATTGGTGTCCAACTCATGTAAACTAATAAAAAAATTAATTCTTTAATAAATTTAAGCAATAAAAAATACAACTGACTAGATCCTCCATAATTGACAGGTAGAGGTGAAAGTCCGGTAAGGAAGATTACAAGGTGGTTAATGCTGGAAAAATATTTTTTGACATTTTTTAAAAAAATTGTGGGGATTTTCTTGGCTAGAAAAGGCCTAAATAAATGTAAAATTCGTAATTGGCATCCTTGAAAACTCTTTGTTATTAATTTTTAGATTTTTAAAAGCATTTTTGTGGGAGGTGACATTTGATCCCAAACATATTTTAAATTTAATTTTTAAGTTTTTCTTTCAAGAAATGGGCCTCGGAATAGACTTAAATAAATTCCTTCATGATTGTTGACTTCGAAAAAAACCCCTCTACTGATTTTTAAAATTTTTTTAAAAAGGTGACATTTGGTCCCAAGAAGAAAAATTAACCTAAAAATCACCACAAACCTTTCAGCATCCTGTATTTCAATCATATATTCCATTTCTTTAAGAGCAGTAAAATCAGTCTGAACCATTCTACCAGCTATAATAAGTCCAAAAACAGACATTTTAATTTTTATTTTGGGAAATCTAAAAATAAAATTCTTTAAATAATTAGGCAAATGTAAGAGAAAATAAAAGAGAAAATTAGAAAACGAAATATGTGTTGCCAAGAGAAACAATTCCGGAAGAGACACGAAATTAAGTAAAAAGAATAGAAAAATTAACGAGGAAAACAGATATCAGACTCTAATTTCACTTTATCAGCTTTTTCTAGATTTTTCTTGTTCATTTAGACAGTCACAAAAATGAGAGAGTGTGTGTTGTTAAGAGAGACATTGGCTCCCATACAAAATCTCTATTCCTTAAAATAACTATTCCTTAAAATCTCTACTGGGGTAAAAATAATTAAAATCTCTACACCGTGCAAATGGACGGTAGAGTCTCAACAAAAGTGTAAAATATGAACTATTCATTGGAAAACCCAGACTTGGTAATGGATACGGATACAATTGATTTAAAAATGGCTGCGGATATCTGCTTGTATCCGCTGTAAATATCGAAGATATAATACACGACTGCTTCGCTGCGGTCGTGTTCATTTTGCTTGCGGTGTCGTATCGAAGCGGCTGCTGTCGTTCCGCTGGACATGCCTGGGTTCATCCGCAGCGGCAAAAACAATACAAGCAAAATAATATCAAAAGATAAGCCAGAAATCAGAACAACGTTTCCGCACTGAACGTTGGCACTCAAAAGGCTTCCGAATGAAAAAATAGACATTTTATCCTATTTTTGGCCGTGTAGAGATTTTAAGGCATTTTACCCTTGTAGAGATTATGAGGAATAGAGATTTTAAGGAATAGTTATTTTAATCATTTTTAGCCGAGTAGAGATTTTAATGCATTTTAGCTGTGTAGAGATTATAAGGCATTTTAGCCCAGTAGAGATTTTAAGGAATAGAGATTTTGAGGGGATACGGAGACATTTCCGGAATAGACACGAAATTAATTAAGAAAAGAGAAAATTTAACTGGGAAAATTAATCTCAGACTCTAAATGCACTTGCATTTTCTAGATTTTTCCTGTTAAATTCGTGTCCCTACAAAGGATCGTAACATAAAAGGATCGCCACGGCTAAAAACGTTCAAAGGATCGTAACGTCTAAAAACAATTAAAGGATCGTCGCGGGCAAAAAGTATTAAAGGGTCGCTCAGTAAAGGATCGTCCATCAAAGGATCGCCACGGGTAAAAACATTCAAAGGATCGTTTTTGAGTCTCCACCCAAAAGAAGACGTTTGAGTCCCATATTTTTTAGAGATTTTTTTCGTTTTTTTGCCTCGGGTCTATTTTCTTTAAATTTTTCAAATAATTTTTTATTAATTGAATGCAGACCTGCTCTTGGATATGGATAATGTCCGGATATCCGCGGATATAACCGGATACGGACGGATATGGATGTTTTTTGATGGATACGGATGAGCACGGATATGATACTCCAAATCCGTGGATATCCATCTCAAATTTTCGCCTCGACGTGAAAAATTGATTCACGTTAATCCTTTCAAATCCCCCGATATCCCTCTTAATCACCATTTATCAGACTGGCACATCACTGCAACCAAACTGATGGCACTGAACTGGCTTTATGAAATTTTTTAAAAAATGACGACCCTTTGAACGTTTTTACGCGTGACGATCCTTTGATGGACGATCCTTTAATGAACGGCCCTTTAATACTTATTGCCCGTGACGATCCTTTAACAGGGCGACCCTTTAAAAAACGATCCTTTGTATAGGAGCCGTTAAATTAGACAATCACAGAAATGAGAGAGTAGGTGTTGTTAAGAGAGACATTTCCGGGGCTACCCTACAACTCATCGAATCCTTAACTCATCGAATCCTCAACTCATCGAATCGGCCAAAAACGATCAACTCATCGAATTTTTCCAAAAGGGGACGTTTGAGTCCCCGTGTTTATTTTTTAGATTTTTTATTGTTTTGTTTATTTTTTTTTGTTTTCTTTTGGGGTTTCAACTAATTTTGTTAATTAGTTGATCGGGCACTCATCCACGTCTATGCGGCCAGTGAAAACATTATCAGATAATGAGAATGTTTTCTCACATTCCTGGTAAATTATGATGGAGATTTTACCGGGTAAAACCGGACCAAATTAGTCCAGTAGACCCCGATTATGCCCAAAAGCCCTTTTTCCTAGCCTCCATAGCAGCAAAAAATTTTTTCAACGAAGATTCAGTTGGCCCTTTCGGGAGAAAAATAAAAACAGGGGACTCAAACGTCCCCTTTTGGAAAAATTCGATGAGTTGATCGTTTTTGGCCGATTCGATGAGTTGAGGATTCGATGAGTTAAGGATTCGATGAGTTGAGTGTTTTTGGCCGATTCGATGAGTTAAGGAATTTTAGCCGATTCGATGAGTTGAGCGTTTTTGGTCGATTCGATGAGTTAAGGATTCGATGAGTTAAGCGGGCACGATTTCCGGAACAGACATTAAATTTAATTTCTTAGATTTCTTTGCGTTTTTTTTCGATTTTCCTCAAAATTTACACCCCTCAGTTTCTATTATAAATTTGTTTAAAATTTAAAAACGATTTTCTGTTAATTTTCAGAAAAAGGGAATGACAAATTCTCAGGGAAATGGATGTTTTTCATTGTTGGGTGATTCAAGGGTTTGGCTTATTTTTGGTTTTGTTATGTCTATTAAATTTATGTTGATCAACAGTTATCATTCTACTGATTTTGAGGTTTTCTTTTGAAATTATTTTTTGGGTTGTTTTCTGTACCCATAGAGGAGCTTTTTGAGTTTCCTGTGTTTTTCCCAGACCTTTGGCCGATACAGTTCAGTCAATGGACAAACCAGAATTTCTCACTCCTGCAACTCACTCGGTTGGGAAAATGAACTTCTAGAAGGTCTGATGTTCGTCTTTTGGTCTGTGGCCAAACTATTTTTAATTTTTAAAAAAGATGACATTTGATCCCATGTTGACCTCAGTTTCCTTCTAGATAAGGGATTTTGATTTATGACGATTTTGTCTACTTGGGATCAAATGTCATCTCTCCACAAAAATAAAAATTTTTTCCCTTTCTTTTAAAGGTTCATCGTAATTGGATGTCTATAGTCTACAATTTACCTCTCGGGCATTGGTACCATTCACAAATTTCAAAATGGACGTTGGACTATCCTCCTTTCTTCGCTTATTTTGAATGGGTTTTGGCTAAATTAGCTTCTTTAATTGACCCAAATATTTTAACTCTTGGAAAAGAAGAATATTTTTCAACTTCTACACTTTATTTTCAAAGAATTAGTGTTATAATGGCCGATTTTATTTATGTAAGAGGAGGTTTTTTAAAATTTAATTGAGAAAAATTTTTGCGGATTTTTATGTCCGCAACTTTTTTTGCGGATTTTTTTTGTCCGCAAAAATTTTTGCGGACATTTTTTGTGTGCAAAATTTCTGCGGACTTTTTTTGTGCCCGCAAATTTTTTGCACTTTTTTTGTCCGCAAAATTTTCGCGGACTTTTTTATTTGTCCGCAAATTTTTGCGGACTTTTTTATTTGTCCGCATTTTTTTGCGGACTTTTTTTTTGTCCGCATTTTTTTTTGCGGACAAAATTTTTTAATTAATTATTTTTACTTTTTTTATTTCAAAAACAGTTTCTGGGATGTGCTAGCGTTTCTTCTTCATTTGTTTCCACAGAATGGGCTGTCGGAGAGAAGTTTATGGCTAGAGCAAAATTGTGTCTTTTTACTCTTTTAATGTTAAATCCGGTTAATTTTTTTTAATTTTTTAAATTTATTTTATTTTTAGTCTCTTATAATTTTGGATAATATTCATTTTCAATATAATGGATTTTTGTATGGTTTTCTTCTTTTGTCGATTGGGTCAATTGCTAGAGGGGATTTTTTGAAGGTTTTGAATATTTTTTGTTTATTTTTGGGGTTTGGGTGTTTTAAGTTGTTTGAGTTTTTTCATTTTTTTTTAAATAGTTTCGAGACCCCAAAGATTGAAATTTGAATGGTTAGAACAGACTTACACTCAGACAATGGATAGGTTAGGTTTGGAAAAAAGGATAGGATTTTGGGGGTTCCGACTTTCTTTGCGTCCGGAACGTCAAAGTAAATGCCAAAATTTTGGCACACCCAGTGTTAGCCCCCACCTCTCGAAATCTACCCCTTGACTACGTCCTTGTTGGTCGGTTTTTTTTGACCAACTCTAAGAACAACATTTTTAAAAATAAATATATAAGTTGATATTTTGAAGAAAAATTTCAATTTTTTTCTTATACGATCCTTTTTTTATTTCAAAACTAGCCATAGGTCTTTTGAACTAGATTGACTCAAAAATGTCTTCAAAAAATTTTTAAATTTATTTCTTTTTAAATTTTTTAGGGTGCTCTATTTTACGCAATTCTTTTAAACTTCAAACATTTATATTTATATTATGCCCCAGCATTTATTATTTTTTATTTGTCTTGGTATCTTTATTGGGAAGAATCTGGTGGGAGAGTAGCTTCTTTAATGGCTATTTTGGTTGGAATTTTTTCACTTTCATTTGGACCTTTTTTGATTGAAGGAATTGCTGCTTTTAATTTTAAAGGTTTGTGGGGAATTTTAATTGGAAGATTTTTTTGGGGGTTGGGGTCATAAGGGCGCGGGGCCATTAGGGCGCCAGCACTAGAAACTGACACTTAGGCGAAACCGAAATTTATGAAAATTTTCTCAAATTTCTTTAACATCCTAGACTACCTCCTCAATAAATTTCAGAATTTTTCATCGAATATTTCTGAAGTTATAGTCGATAAACCGCGAAAAATTAGGGTTTTTTCGGAAAATCAACATTTTTGGCCACAATTTCCGAAATTCGTGATCAAAAATTCGGAAATTTTTGGAGAATGTAGATAAAGGCATGTGAGTTATTATTGCAAAATTTTAACTTTTTTGATAAGCAACTTACTGTTTTATAAGCTCGCGCCCTAATGGCCCCGCGCCCTAATGGCCCAGTCCCTTTTTTGGGGGTTTTTACTCGCCATTTTTCATTTGAGTCAATATGTTAAAAATGGTTGTAAAAAGTTGGTAAAAAATTTTTTTTGGGTTTCGATGGCGCTGGATTATGAAATTAATCTTTGTCAATTTAAAAATTTATTATTATTTCAAGAGGTCAAATTTAGAATATTTCTGAGGGCTTTGAAATGTTTTTTAAGATGTTGAGATGAGTTGGTTGTGGTGGTTTTACTATTTTTCTGGTCTTAAGCGAGTCATAAATATCTGTAACGA